TTCACAAAAGAAAAAGCAAAATTTACTCACCTTCGACCCTTTGGTAGTATCTGTTGGATCAAAATTCCCGATGGTTTCCGGAAGAAGTGGGATCCGAAAGCCAAAAAGTGCATCTTTGTTGGTTACACTAAAACGAGTAACAATTTCCGTGTCTATGACCCTGTAACAAACAAAGTTAATGTTACAGCTAATATTAAATTCATAGATGATGATTATGATGCTGAGAAAATGATAGATGAAATTGTTGATGATGAACCAATTGATCTGGAAGAAAAATGTTCAATTGATGAAAATGAAAAAGAAATTGATTTTGATGATAATTGTAGTGAGACAACAGAAATTTATGAACATCCACCTGATGATGTTGACTTGAATGATTGGATGAAAAATGTTGTATTTCAATCAATAGTTACTAATTGTGAACCTGTTAATTATGAAGAAGCAATTAACTCACCTGATAATGTTGATTGGATGAATGCGATGAAAGATGAAATGTCTTCAATTAAAAGTAACGATACTTATGAGTTAATGGATTTACCTGAAGGAAAAAGATCAATATCATGTCGTTGGGTTTATCGTATTAAAAGAAATTTGGACGGTACAGTTGACCGTTACAAGGCTCGACTTGTAGCCAAAGGTTTTTCGCAAAAGGCGGGAATCGATTACTTCGAAACTTTTAGTCCCGTTGCTCGTTATGATACTATTCGAGCTATTCTTTCAATTGCTACTGCTTATAAAATGGACTTAATGCAGTTCGATATCAAAACGGCTTTTCTTTATGGTGAATTAAATGAAGAAATTTACATGGCTCAACCACCAGGATTCGAAGATGGAACCAATCGAGTTTTAAAATTGAAAAAAGGTCTTTATGGCTTAAAACAAGCACCTCGTCAATGGAACGAGAAGGTTAACAATTTCTTTAGAACCTTGAATTTTCACCATTGTGGTGCTGATAAATGTTGCTTCGTTAATTTTGATAATGGAATAACAATCTGTGTTATTTATGTTGACGATGGTTTGATTGCGAGTAATAATCAACAACAATTAACAAAGTTAATTAATAAATTAAAAGAAACTTTTGAAGTTAAAGTTCATCCCCCTAAAGTTTTCGTTGGGATGGAAATACATCAGAGTGATGATAAATCAACAATTAAGATTAAACAATCAAGTTACATTAATGAACTTTTAAAAAGATTCAAAATGGATCAGTGTAAACCGTTATCAACACCAGGTGATACTAATCATAAACTATCATCATCAAATCAACCACCTGATACTAATTTCCCATATCAAGAAGCTGTTGGTGCTCTCTTGTACTTGTCGATCATCAGTCGACCAGACATTACATTCATGGTAAATAAATCGAGCCAATTTAATTGCTGTTATGACGAAAGTCATTGGAAAGCAATTAAACGAATTTTTCGTTATTTAAAAGGAACAATTGATTGTGGGATAACCTATTCAGCCACGACTTCAAATTTACAGTTAATCGGCTACTGTGATGCTGATTATGCCGCCGATATTGATACCAGGAAGTCGACCTCTGGTTTTTGTGTTACTCTTGGCAACTCACCAATTTCATGGGCTTCGAGGTTACAACGAAGTGTCGCTCAGTCGACAACTGAAGCTGAATATGTTGCTATCGCTGATTGCCTAAAAGACGTTATTTGGTATCGTCAATTAATGAAAGAGTTAAAAGTTCCAATTGATTCTCCAGTAAAAATAATGAGTGACAACCAAGGAGCAATCAAATTAACAAAAAATTCAGTTTTTCATAAGAGGACCAAACACATCGATGTCCGTTACCACTTCATCAGAGATCATCAGGAAAGAGGAGAGATAAAAGTTCAGTTCATCCCCACTGATAAACAACCCGCTGATATGCTAACGAAGTGTTTGTGTTCACCTTCATTAAGAAAGTGTTGTGACTTTTTAAATATTAATTGAGTTACGTTTGGTGCAAGGGGAAGTGTTGGTTATATAAGCTTAATTCGCGCTTATTTAAGCTTAATTATTAACAATTTAATCGTTTATTATATTAATTTAAACGTTTTTAACTTTTCGATTTTCTCCCATTTACTTAACATGGGAACTCATTAGTTTGTCGCCATTTTTTCGCGCCCATTAGCTTTTCACTTGTTGTAATGATATTATCTTGTAGAGCTCATTAATTGCAATCGATTCATATATAAAGATAATTGATTGATCATTTGGTTCTCCAACAATTAACCAAAAACCTTAAATTTTCATTAATAATTTAGCTCCAAGTAAACTTTTCGCACACACGATAATTTTGATGAAATCATTACAATTAAGACATGAATAGGATATCGTTAGAAAGATAATTAAACACAGAATCGACCAATATACTAACCATTAATTCAAGTTGATTAGTCTCTGAGATATGACCCTTAACATTTGGTCGATTCCCAACAATTAAGTTAATCATTTTTTCTTAATTACTTTCATCTCTTTCTTTCTAACCTAACCATTATTTTATATTATTATTATTACCATTATTATCCATAATTATTGAGATGATCAACTAACTAATGACCATCCCTGTCCATTAGTTGACCGACAAAGGGTAAACCAAGTTTTACCATTTTCCTTTACTCTTTTCTTTTGTGCCCCAAACTGTCACTCACGTTACTCTCTCTCATCTTATCTTCTCTCTCTTCATCTCCTCTCATCTCTCTCACGTACACACACACAAACAACTCTTTCAACCGCCAAAAATAACCAAACCCAAATATTGACCAATTGGGTCATTTGATTCAAATCTTTGTAACGACCAATCCACAGTATTTAAACCGAACCCAAACTAATAAACCTTGTCTTTAGTTGATGACAATTGAAGAGATAACATCTCTTAGAGTATTTCATTTTCTTTCTTTTAAAATCTAAGTGTTTCCTTCTTAATACAAGAAGAAGAGTTAATTTGATTAACAGTTTTAATTAGATTTAATTGTGTTTTTCCAACTAAAACCAACATGATTGACCGACAAAGAAAATCAAAAATCATTCTCATGGTTTTCATTCCCAATATTTACCAAGAGATAAACATTGATAATTCATTGATATAAAGTATTATTACTAACATGGTTAATAGTAAATTAATGTTGACGATCAGCTGATCGGGTTAAATATTGATTACTTGAAGTTGAGAGTTTGGGATTGAGTCTGAGACATATGAGAATCATTATAATATATTGGATTTTCTGATCGGTGATATAAATCATATGAACTGAACTTTTGGTGAAACTTTTAACCTTCTCGTCGATAGACTAACATATAACTTATACAATATATAATATATACTCACATGGAATCATCTTTAATGTCATAAAAGTTTTTCATGTGAAAATCGGATAACCTTAATACTATTTGAAATGAAACCACAAACTCTACTATAAGTATTATATATATTAAAGTTATTACTTCAATCTGAATGAATTCATGACTCAAGTTTCCAATATCATGTACTTGATAATTGTGAAACTTGAAACAATGTTGTAATAATAATTTTTTTTTCTCTTATACCAATTGTTATGATTAATGAAATTGATAAAATGTTTAACCATAAAGTACATTAGGTGATTATTTACTAATATCATATTAACAGTTAGTCTGATTAAGTAAAATCTATCATGTAAATAATGAAACTTGAATATGAAAGATTTATGAACATAAAAGCAAGAAATAAGTTTCATTTACTCATGATGATTATGATCATCAAGATGAAATAAAAGTAGTAATAACTTTGACTATGGGAAAGTATGAGAGTTAATACTATCATGGGTATGAGATATTCATTATTATGGATTCTCAAGTGAAGCTAAATTAGAGAGAGAGAAAAAGAGAGAGAGAGCGAAATTACCAGGGAACGACATGAGAATTGAATGAAATACTAGAAGGGAATTAGCAAGTCAAGACATTTAGGATGATAGAACGATGAGAATGCAGATGAAAGAATCAAGTGTTGATGGTTGGGATAACATGGAGAGAATTGTGTTCATGATACTGAATAACATCAATGATAGGGAGATAAATGTGTATATGTGAAGTAACAGAAATTGAAAGTTCTAAGAACCAGAATACCAATTGTAATGAGTAACAAAACGATTGGTATTTTGTTTTGATATTCATTTCTATCTCCATGCTGATTCAACATTCAACTAGAATTCTTGTGATTATATTCATAGAATTGGTGAATAATTTTTCATGATAATGAACATTTTCACTTCTATTATCGGCAAGAGCAAGAATCAATCTATAATTAACTTTATTTATCGCTATTAACAAGCTTTGGGAAGTCTTATTAGCTGCTGATAATTCAGTTTGGGTGCAAATGATTACGATAAACTTATTCTGTTCAATTATGAATTATATTTTTTCCCTCTCCCTCTCTCTCTCTCTCTCTTTCATCATGGTTATTTCATTTTCTCTACTATGTTATTTCATTGTTATTCTCATTGTTACTTTTATTGTTATCATCATTATTGTTACTAACATGGTGATTCCAAAGGTAATAATGATTCAGTAAATCACCAGAATCATTTGCAAATCATTCAATTTCCAGTATACTTCCTGCAGTTAATGAAAATTAGGACGATCTGTTGATCTGTTAATTATCAATTATCAATCTTAATTTACTTGATTACTTTGATTTTATTAGAAAATTCTGATAATATGATGATAACCAATAATGATCCTGAACCGATTTCGATATCAGTGCAACAATAATATGAAAATAATCAGCTAACTAATAAAAAGATATAAACAATTAGAGGAGAGAGAGAGACTAACATTTGATTACTTTCCAAGAATAGAAACAATTTGTTCAATGTTTTATCATGAGAGATGATTAACTTAATCAAGAGAGAAATCGGGATAACAAGAAGAGAGAGAGAGAAAGAGAGAGATTAATAGTTAACAATATGGAAAATGATTGAATTGATTGTTATCATGTATTAATCCATGTTTACATTATCTTCCAGTGGTATTGTCAACTACTCCATGTTCTGGTTCACTATTTTTTACTTGCCAATTATTCATGGACATTCTGTGAGGGTTTATACCTTCATACCCTCCTGGTTGTGGCCTTTGTGGCTGAAGAAAAGATCATGAAATGGTTTTATGTGATCGGCTGGGGAGTACCTTTAATATTTATCGGTTTTTATGCTGGATTTCGTGGCTTATCTTACAATGGAGAAACAAATTAGTGAGTAAACTCAATGAAAATCACGATAATCGTTATCACTCACACAGAATCTAATCAATTGAACTACCCCATATATTATACATACATTTTACACCATCGATAGTTTATCAATAATAATGGGAAGAAAAGTTGTCAGGGTTAAGCTATTTTTACTCTGTGACCTAAATGTCCAATGTGATAATCCAATGCTCTATTGGAATCAGTTGAAATACCTGTTAATCCATGTGACAGAACAAAAAATGATTTCAATCATGCTGTGAGTTAATGGGTTGGTCTTTGCATTTGATTAGGAAATGATGAGAAGTTCAGAGAGAAAAATGAATATTAATGAGCTTTCATTGGGTTGGAATTTTTTTTCCTTCTTCTCATTCACATTCTGATTAATGTTTCCTTTGGCATTTTTTTTCCTCTTCTCCTCCTTTGGCTCAACGATTATCACCACCATGAAAATCATTCTCTCTCGTCCTCAATTCCATTGTTAACTCCCATTTAAATAGCTGTTGGATTGATGAAAGTAAATATTCTTGGTGGTATACTGGTCCAGTTCTTGTATCATTTGTGGTAAGTATTTGAATAAACAATTTGCCGCTTATTCCCACTTATTCATCTTAACTCTAATAGCATAATATTATTTGGTATTTACCATGAAAAGAATCAAAGTTCACATTCATCTCAATCAATTTATCATTTCCTTGAAAACTTTTTATATGATTTGTAATGTGACCTTTTCATCTTATTATTATATTTCATTGGGAATGAAAAGTTCATGCCTTGTTTTCAGAATATGTTTCAAATGAAAACAAAGAAAAAAGGTCTTGAGAGTTTTCATAATAATAATATTTCTCCCAAGGGTCAGTCGAAAAGTCCAAGATAATTTAGTAGTTTATTCAATCTTCTAATGATAATTGATGATATTCACATTTTCTCCATCCTTTTCTTATTATTATACTCTTTCCATCATATTATCCCAATTGTTTCCAGTCACTACCTTGAGTCATTTTATTCATCTCTCTCTCTCTATCGTCTTTTTCAGCTCAATTTATTTTTCCTTGTAAACATTGTTCGAGTGCTGGTAACCAAGATGAGAGCAGTTAACTCTCCTGATGCCCATCAGACACGGAAGGCAGTTAAAGCAACGCTCATCTTACTTCCCTTGTTAGGGTTACACTTTTTGGTTACTCCATTCCGACCTCCTGAAGGGACTCATGCTGAGGAGGTTTATGAGATTGTAGCTGCTTTGGTTGCCTCACTTCAGGGTCTTTGTGTTGCTATTCTGTTCTGTTTCTGTAATGGTGAAGTCATTTCTCAGTTTAAAAAACGATGGACTCAAATCGCGTTGACACATGGAGACAATCGTCGAATGTCTTATGCAGCAACAAGTGTCTCGGTAAGTGTTTCGAATAACTTTTTCGCTCCTCTTCCAACCAGAAACAATCAAACAAAAAAGAGAAAAGTTTTGTCCAAAAGTCCATCCAAAAGTCTTGATAGTCTTGAGTTTACAAAAAGAAAAATTGTCAAAGTTTATCAATAGAAACAAAATAAATTCTCAAGTTCGTGCATAAAAGTTCATCACGTGCAGAACAAAATCAGAAATAACATTCAGAACAATCTGATTTCCAGGTCATTAAATAGTTTTGGTTTCTGTTTTATGACATCAGTTAAGTTCGTTCTTATGTAATATTATATGAAAATCGAAAAGTGAAAAAACGATTGAATTTTTCACTTGAATTCTATTTATTCTGTTTATCGATTCAAATTTCAATTCTGATTTTCGTTAAGCTACTCAAAGATCAACATCTCTCTTCTAAAATAATGAGAACAGCTTATCAGGTTATATATAAAATATAAGTTTCGATAACAAAATGGACAATATCGTAGAGATGATAAGATAAGCTCATTTTTCACCAAATTTGATCCAATTTGAGTCTCTTCTTATTTACCTTGAGTTTACCTGAATTTCATTCTTGTCTCAATCTCGAATCAATGTTACAGATAAGCTTAATATAAGATAAAAATCTCTCTCTCTCTTCTCTCTCTCATCAATCTATTTTTTTCTTCTTCATCTTCTTCTCTTCATCTCTCTTCATCTCTCTTTCTCCATCCTTTCACCTTAATCAACTCAACTACAATCAAATATTTACCTGACATTTTATTTTCACCAAACTTTCCTGTTTCCTGTTAATCTTATCAACCTTTTCACCAAATAATAATAATAATAATAATGATCATGATGATGATGATGATAATAATAAACAAAACAATATTGTCACTTTTGGGGTTTGAATATACACTTACTTAAACTCCAGAGTGTTGCCCTTTAGTTAACTCATGTAATACTATCATGAATTCAGGAATAAGAATGAAAAATGATGAAAAGAAAAGGAGGATTTATTATTATATCTTCTTCTTCTCAGATCAACAATCAATTACCAATTGAATCTATTAATCCATTTCTATTGAATCATATCATCTATTTGCACCCTCATCTCTTTTCTCAACTTATCTTCAGGGAGACCTGAAACCACACCTATTATGTTATTTGAATTTTTCTTTTCGTTAGAACTTTTTTCTCTCTTATTTTCTCATTTTTTTCCAATTTCCAAAGTTAAACTCCATCAAAATGATCACATTATAATCACTCATCCTTATCCCAATTCCTCCCATTTTTTTCTCACCAAACGTCTCGTATTAATATATCATCGTAATCATATTATAAATACTCAGTTTCTAAGATGATTTTATCAAAATTTCGAGAGTTTTAATACTCATAAATGTATATATATAAGAAGAAGGAAAATTTATTTCCAATTTCGACCTGGAAAAAAAAAGTTCTAATCTGTTATTATTATGGATTGAAGGGTAAGAGCATTTCGACTTCTCGTAAATCCCAAGATTCTCCTAAATTAATAAATGCAACTGATCTAAAAATTATCCATAGTCGAATGTGTCTCCAGTTAATATATATGTATGTTCAAAATCGTAAATATTTCACATAACAAAAACTCTTGATCCTCTTCAGGATAACTCAAGATGTAACTTTTAATACTTTAGTGGTAATTCAGATTCATCTGATGAAAATCAATAATGATGCAAATGTTGATAAAATTTTCATTTATGTCAAACTAATAATTTCAACTACTCAGAGAGAGTTACATCAAAGATAGAAAGAAGAGAGAGAGACAAATCAACTTGAACTTTGAAATATTCTCACGACAGATTCAGTTTTCACCCAATTCAATGTGATAGATAACAATGAGTTTTTTTCCAATAAGTGTCACAGTATAAGTGACACAATAAACTCAATGGGTTGTCATTTATGTTCAAGAACAACAGTGAACTTTATATATATACTTATATAAGAAGATTAATCTTCATCGATATCAAGGTAATTGAGAAATGCCAATAAGTTATCATCCATTACAAGAATACCCAGAATTTCATACCCTGAAATATATTATACGCATATTGTTCAGAAGATTATCAAATTTCAAATAGGAAACTGGATTTAAATTGTTAATTGAAATATTTGAAATCTAATCAGTATCTCTTGTCTATCATTAATCTTTACAACAATTAGATAATCTTTTGAGTCAATTCATTGATTTGAGTTAATATGGATAACTGAATAAGCGTCAATATTGAATTCTTATCATCATTATCATCATCATCATTAATGATTGAATATATATCTCAGTGAATTAGGTTTGCGTGTTAAAAGCTTATTGATAACATATTAAGAAAGTAAAAACGAGAGACTAATTTTAACATTGACCTTTGATAATGATTCCAATTCCCTATTATTATCCCAAATCCTGATCACTCACTGAACATGAACCTCAATCTTTTTCCACCCAATTCCAAAGAGAATCATGATAATTTCCAATTTTCGAAGGCATAAAACTTTGTTTCAATTCGCACATAATTGAGTATCATCATGTAATCAGCATCCGACGAACAAAGATTCAAATGATTAAAACGAATCACCTTTTTATTTTCATATTCTTTCATTTAGTTTCCTTAAAGAGCAAAAAAGTTTTTCTTTTACATGTTAATCCCCAATGAATTTTCACTCAGCACGATAACTTGTTGAAACTTTTTATTTTATTTTCTTTTTTGTTTCCACCAAAAAATCAATCATTATATACATGAGAAAATCTCAATGCACATTATGTATGTTAACCTTTTCTCTCTCTTTCTTTCTCTTGTTCTCCATCTCCTAAACTTTATCCTTTCCGTTTCCTGGTTTCACTTTCTCTTTTATTCCCTTTTTCTTTTCTCCTATTTATTATTATTATTATTGGATCATTATCGTTTCCAATAGTATATTCAACGTAACTCGGACGCACACGCAACTAAACCTTTGAAAGAAAATGGATTTGCTGTATGATTAAATCTTATTTACTTTGTAGTATATATTGATCATTATTATCATTATCATCTTCATGATTGTTATCATGATCATCACCATTATCGATATCATGAAACCACTGAGGAAAACCTAAAAGCTCATTTCCTTTTACAGGGAAAAGTTGTCAATTGGCATCACATCATCACCAAATGTTAACCCTCATCACCACTACAATTACTCAACAACAACAACAACAAATGGATCATCTTTATCTTTTATCATCATCTCATATTGAATGGAAATGAAATGAAAATCTATCAACAAGAAGCAAGAAAAAGGAGAAAAACAAAAATTTGTCAAAAATAAATCTCTTTTTTATTTACTTTTCAATTCTGTAATTTATAACAAATATCATATTCACCCTGATTATATATACATAATTATCTGTGATCAACAACAAAATTTGCTTCCATGTTGGAAAAAAATGTCAACAAACCAAATGGTCATCTTCACTTGGAGTTCACCCCTTTTGGTTTTTTTTGTAATCATACTGTCCAGTTTTCTCATCACTCTTCATTATCATCTTCTCCATCTCATCATCATCATTATCTTCATCTTGCTTGCATCTAAAATCAACTTGACACCGAAAACAAGAAAAGTAAACATGATATTATTTTTTTTCTTCTTCTCTTTTACCGAGAAACTGATTATCATTGGAAAGTGTAAATGCTAAAAGGATGTTAATATATTTACAATGAAGATTGAGTCAAATGTAAACAATCATAATTAATCGATACAATCAACTACAATTAATCAGGTAAATTGATTCTAATTGAATCTCAATTTGCCTCCAGAAAAAAAAATTGTCCACCAGTGTTGATAAAATCATGATAATGATAATAACCAAATGCTAATGATTATTAATAATAAGTAATAATATTCATCCAAATCTGATAATCATGGATGGGATGAACAAAATTGTAAAATCAAGTTAATTGTTGCTGTTTCCTTTTCTATGTAATTTAATTGTATCATTAAATTTGATCACTTCTGTTAATCACTATTACCATGTTATCGCTGACAAATTATTATCATTATTATTTGTAAATTGATATTATTTTATCAATTTTTACTTCGCAAGCAAAAATTCAAAATCTAATATTTATTAACAGGGTCGTCTTTGCATAATTTATAATTAATCTGTGATGTTAAGTGTTTACAATTAACGATAAAATTTAACCAATAAACCAAATATTAATAATTAGTTTTCGATTTGTCATTTTTCACTATTCCATTTAAACTGTCCGATCACCGATAACAAAATCTCCGACTAAATAAAACTGTCTCTGTCTAAGGAGTCTGGATCCCTAATATTTTATTAATTAAGAGCTGCGACTTTAAAGGTTTGTAGGGATCATCGTGGCTTATAGTTTAAACTGATGTTTAGATCGATCTGATCAGTACTTTCCCAGACAATCGAGGCCAAATATCAAACTTTGAGGGCTTTTCTCTTAGAGTGTGCCAGATGGTTTTGTCCTATTTGGTCAATCCTTTAGCAGCGTAGAGCGAGTAGTAATCGGTTCAATTCATCACGTGAAGATTTAATTGATTTAGAGAAAACCAATACCAACAATCAAGGCAAATCATTATTATTCTCAAGGAGAACCTTTATTGAGATTCACCAATATTATGGTTTACAATTTAGAAGATATTGCCAGTCAATCAAAGAGAAATTAATCAATGAATCAGAACAATTTAATAGTAACAAGATGACACCAAGATGTGAGGTGGATCTCCGTTCAAAGGAACACTAAAAAAAACTCTATTCAATGGGTTTCCAGTCATCAATTGCAATCGATTCATATGTTAGAATAATTGATTGGTCATTTGATACTCGAAACCAAAAACCTTAAATTTTCACTAATAATTTAGCTCCAAGTGAACTTTTCGCACACACGATAATTTTGATGAAACCATTATAATTAAGACATGAATAGGGTATCGATAGAAAGACAAATAAACGTAAAATCGACCAATATACTAATCATTAATTTAAGATGATTAGTCTTTGAGATATGAACCTTAACATTTAGTCAATTCCCAACAATCAAGTTAAACATTTTTGTCTTAATTACCTTCATCTCTTAATAAATTTTTAAATGTTCCACTATTGTTTTTAATATAATTGTTTACCATTAACTTAGCTTACCCTCGAACTTCATCAACGTTAAGTGTTAATATCAAATTAATCCAAATCTAATCTATTATTATAATTTTATATTCATTAACCCTTTCTGTCTTCTTCTTATAGGTATTTCCAAAAAAGTAATTTGCTGTTTTCCGATAAATCTGTCACTGTAATTGATCCAAGTTTCAAAAACAACTTTATCAACGGTAAGTGTAACCATTATCAAATTAAAAAAAATATATCTATTATTTAAATTTTATATTTATTGACATTTCTTGTCTTCTTCCCTTAGGCAATATTGCTAGATTTTTTCACTCACAGTATTAATAAAAGTGGAAATATTAATTGTACGGAGGAACCATGCAAAATTTATAGAGAAAATTAGTTTAAAATCATCGCAATTTTCTGAGGATATAACGGATCCGACCGGGAGAGAAGGGTAAATAGCTTCGCTGGACCTTCCACCCAACGTTTCACCCAGAACAGGACCATAAAGCCAGGCTTTGTTGGCAGCGGTCGTTTATTAATCACCTAACTTGTTGATTACGATGCCCAAAAAAATTTCTCACCCCAAAGGGTCACAATAGGGAGTGAGAGCAAATTCAATGTTTCAATTTTTAATTTCAATGGCTTTCGGTTGGGAGTTGTTAATTCCTACCGAGAGCCAAATTTTAATCTAAGTTGTTGAGGGTCAATCATTTTTGTCGGGTTGGACCTCCTCACTCATGGGGACAAATGGATATGGGATTTGAATTCTCAACGAGTTGAACCTGTTGATGGCTCGATTCTAGGTGGAGATTTCAATATCGAAAATGTCTTTGTTGGGTGGGAGCAAGCGCTCAAAGAACGAAAAGATCGGCTGGATTAATTTATATTTTCGAAAAATTCAATTTAATTCCAGTTAGTGATGAGCAACTTGACAGCATAGCTCAATTGATTATATTTGCTATTCTAACTTGCAACTTGGGAAACCATCTATCAACTTGGACAATTTAAAAAACAATGCAAATCACAAATAGTGTATTGTACTTGCGAGATCGAGAATCCAAGCTCAAAACAACTTCGCGAAATTGTCCGATGTAAGCCTCTCGGCAAATGTGAAAAACCACTGACTAATACTATACAATTTACCTGTGTGAACTTTTTGATACAGGATATGCTTCTGTGGATATAGAATCAATGAAGTTGGTAAGGCTAGTGAAAAGGTATCTTCCAATAATACACAAACTTTAATCTTTTTACCTCAAGTTTCAAAGAGTTAATGATTTTATTTCTAATACAATGTATTACATTAATACAACGAGTGACCATGTGATAATGATCAGAAGATCATGATCTTCTAGAACATTCGAATAATTAATAAATAATAATTCAATCAATATTAAAGGAGGTTAAATGAAAGCTTGCGTGTCATCACGAGATATGATAATAATGGAAAATATCAGACTGCGACCGATCAATAATGACCTTGGTCGCGGTTTAATTGACATTTTTGTTACACTAGCAATGCCTGTGCAGATTTGTTTGTTTTCGGTGATTCACAGGTAGTCTTTAACTCTTTTGGGTATAGAAGAGTATGACTGTTATGATCACTAAAACACATCCGCGTGCTGATAGATGGCTCAAATGGATTGTTGAGTAATAGAATATTGAAATAACCAATCAGTCCGGTTTAGACCCAATACATTTTACGGAGATCGGCTTTCGTAAAGTCTCCGTTATTGGCCTCGAGGTCCTTAAGATAGATCAGGTTTACCTTCTCCAAGTTTGTTATTTGTTTTCATTATGAATCGATGGGATGACTCGATGAAGTCCAGCAACCAGTTATAGGGAGGTTGAAAATAGTTTTTCTAGCATTCTTTTGTCGAGTGTCATATTTACCATTTTTGGGTTTACCGGTGATTCGTAAACTATTAGCTTTGAATTTTGGTAGAGGTTCCGAGTAGTCGAGATTTTGTTCAATATGGGTAATCTTTTGATAACCGAGTGTAAAATTAAACAAAATGAAAGAAAGATAAAGTTTGGGGTTTTCTTGGTGCACTTCTTATGTTCTTCTTTATTGATAAGGCTTTAAACGCTATCGATGGGAAACTAATCAAGTCTGCCTTCCCGTTACAATCTTATCTCTATTTATACTAGAGGTTAGTGGGAGTGTTTTGAGTGTTTTTTTCTTCCTCGAGTTCAAAGTGTAAATGTAAAATGATAATAAGTGTAAATAAGTTTACAAAGTACGGATAAATAATTGAAAAGGGATCTAAGATTAATTGGAAACAAACATCTGGAAGTCATTAAATAGATGTATGGATAATTAATGGTTAATTTCTAGATTAGGCTACTCGTATAAATATTTGTATTAGTAGTAGCAATTGTGGGAAAGGGGGTAATAGTCCAATGTTCGCACTTTTGTTGGGAAAAGGGAAGTCGGTTGTCCTCAGTAATAATCAAGATAGTAAACAATAAGTCTAAATAGTACTTGTCTTAATAGCCCTTACACTAACTGCTTTTTATCAGACGACTAACCCTAGTTGTTATTGATCACGTAGTCACTGGGTATAAAACGAAATTGGCCCAAATCAAAATTATCATTCTCTCTTTTTCTTTCGTTGATTCTCTTCCTATTTTCACCATTTTCCCTAATTCTCTTTCTTACAATTCACCTTACAAATCTTCTTAATATTACTAACAATGGTTTCTCCAACTCGTAAGTATTTACTCGGTCGTCTTTATGGGGAGTAATCCACGAACTTCTGATTTAATCAATGACTTTTTTCTTTTCTCCATAAGTCCAGCTTGTGATTCAGACTCGGATTATGATTGTCCTACTGGTTAGTATTTTAAATGTTTTCTTTATTTCTTTTTAGTGGACGTCTCGATAAAAATAAATTGCATTGTCAACGTTGGTAAGGCCAACATCTATAACGATGTCATTGAGCTCTCTTCAAGTTCATTCGAGTCCGATGATCCGGCCGATCCTGATTATGGACTTAGAGGTCCTAATGTCTATGCTGCGGGTAGAGGACGTCCTCAGAGACAAATGGTTCGAGAATACCCGGTTGTTAGGGTAAACTAACCAGATGAACCTGATAAACCAGTCGTCCCTGGTGAACCTGTCGCTCTTGTTATTGAAAGCGATGACGATGATATCACAACCCAGATAAACAGAAGGAAAATCAAACGCAACTACAACCGTCCTGCTTCAGTTAATATCAATGTAAATTAATATCAATTTAAAAATTGTGATGCTTTTTCACGTCAGCGAAAAACTTACAAATATAATTCGACTGGGTCTGAATTTAAATTCAATGACATTCCCAGCATCGGTCCTCAAGTTCAGCTGCTTTCCAAACTTTGATTCTCTTGAACTTTGATCTCTTTGATTCAACGCTCTTGAATTCTGAAATATGAATAATACAAATGATAATTAGTTACAGTTACTAGTTACGCTTACGAACTAAAATTTACCGTTTCCATTGTTCATCTAGTTCAATTTCCAATGAACCAGTTTGCTTGTTATAAGATTCTTCTTGGCGAGTCACATGTAGAAATGTCCAGCCTAGTCCATAACAATATCCACGATTAATATAATTTTTACAGAAAATTACGGTAGCGAAATAAAAATAAGAAAAAAGTTGTTATGTTACTGGTCAGAAGCCCAAAAATAGGAAAAATATACCCCTCACCCTTGAATGCACTCGTAAGTTGGCATGATGATGATGCAAAATGAGATGATGGTGATACAAATAGTAAATTTATAAAAAAAAATGACAAAAACGCCGAAAATCAGCAAAAATATTGAACAAGAACAATGAAGAAATGAGTCAAAATAGAAAAAAATGAAAACAAACACCCACCGGGGGACAGTTTATTAATTTACACGAGCGAATTTTGGCTTTAATTTGAGTTTTGATTTTTTTAATTTGAAGCCAAAATCAAAGAATCGAGAATCAACTAATCGAGCTTGGTGAAACAACTTTTGAGTCTAAACTTGGAATCGGTCTGATCTCAGGATTAGTTGATTAATGCTTTTAATTACGTTAGTGAATACGGGCCTAAATTTAAAAAGATTTTGAAGATTTCTCTCTCAAATTTAACTCAAATGATTGTTGCTTCATTGTCCTTTGCTGAGTTCATCAGGACTCGGTTGGTCTTCGCCTAAATGATTCGGGCCCTTCTATTGTGATCGGACAAAGGTACTGCTATCTGAAAGTAGTGACGAGAAATTTTCAATCAATAGTCTTTTAGTAATACTATAACATTGATCAAGAACTTTTTCGTTCGACCAACAGTTTTTTTCGTAAAATTGCGATGAAATATCCCGTCAATCTAATCTTTAACTCTTTCATCTCCTGACCTCCTGAACAGGACTTATATCAAGGTAGAAAAAAGCAATCGACTTGGATACAGATCTTCCAAGGTCTATGATAATATTCCAGTCATGAAAATTTTCCAGACTCAAGATTGAAGGTTAATAGAGTTTGATTACTAATCCTTTCAATCATCTAACAGACATTGGTCTTAAACAATTGTATGCCTTACTGAATCTAAATGAATTTCTCTATCAGTTATGCTACAATTTTGTCAATATTTGAACTTTCAAATACTAATCAGATAGTATTATTCATCAATTAAATCAATGTTATTTGGATGAATAAAAATTATCTGATTCATGCTCATGATATTTACAGAAGATGAAGTTGAGTTAGTGGTTTGAACATTTTTTCTCACTTGAATTACTTGAATGATTGACAAAACGCTGAAATGGCTTCAATAGCTTATTCTTGGTGTATATGAATACAGTTAATCTCAACTGATTGTTGGTTCTTAAAACCGGATACACGGTAGTGAAACAAGACCGTTTCCGGTTGGTCAAATGAAAATGTTTTCACTTTTAAGGTAAAAAAAGGGAAATGGAAAAGTATTTGCACTGAAAATAACTGTAAATTTATTTTTCGATACTTTTACCTCGAAACCTTTTATTTTTTTTCCTTACTTTTCACTCATTTGCTCAGATTGTATCGAAACTCAATTGAGATAACATGAAACTCAGATTAACTCTAATCTGATTATCTGTATCATAAATGGATTAAATATATTATAAGATTGTTAAAAGTTCTTCAAATTGTTATCCATCCTCATCTTCATCATTTTCATCGTTTTATCCAGCAACTTATGCATTGAGTGAATTTAACGCTTAATAATACAACATGGACTTACAATTAGTTAATTCACCTAATTATTTAGGTAAAAAATCAATCTGTTCAAGTTTATTGACTTTTCTCGTGATTGCTAATCTATTGTTATTTTCTGGAAATAAGTGCCAACAACAACAATTTGGTAATGGACAATTTATCGATAATCGATTGTAAGTATCATATTGTTGATGACCATTTATGGACAGTTTAATTTTCACCTCACGAAAATGTAATAACAAAAAAAGAGAGAAAATTGTTGAAAATTGTTTATATCGATCTCAGTTAAAACTTGATAATAAACGAAATTCTGACGATTCTAAGTTAATTGTTTGGTAATTGTCTTAACTAATTAGACGAGGTTTCAATTCAATTTGGAGTCCAGCTGAAATTTTACCCAATGTTTACAACAATCAACAAGCACCGATAGTAAATGGAACTCCGATTCGAGTGGAAATTGATCTTCATGTCCAATCGATTCGCCCAACAAATGATCAATCGGTAAGCGAAGTTTTTTTTCCAATAAAGACAATAAATTGTCTCTTTTAAAGGATTCGAAATGTTTTTTCTAATACTTCTGTTCAATGAAAGATCCATATTGTTATTAGTACAATTAACTTAATTATTTTAACGGAAAACGATTTCTAATTATTAACTTAATAGTGAGAAAAATAAAACCGCGAATCAAATATGATCACCAAAGCGTTGATTTCAAGGTAATCAAGTTAATTGTTGGTCGTTTCTTGTAACAGTTAGTAAAATGAATGAGTTACATTAGTTAAACTCGTTAAGATTTTTACCTGTTAGTTCATTGATTACAAATTACCCTTGACAATTAAAATCTAAACAATTTAATCAACACCTAGCTGAACATTTAGTGACAATTTATTGAGTTTTCTATGACAAAAATCATCAGAATGATGATCAATTGAATCGTCTAATTAATGAGATAATAGTCTTGATTTTAACCTTGATTCGAGTTGAAATCCTTTCCCAATTGTCTCAAAGTTTTTTTTCATGTTCTCGGTTTGATTGACAATTAATTTGACATTGATTATCGAGATAGATTGATTAATCACGCTTCCAATTACAGTTATTATTATTTTCTAACCAACTATAATTAACTAACTAACTTTTTATTATATATCATGAAACAGCAAAAGCTTAATTGCTCATGATTAGATGAACAGGCCTGAGAGTAATTAATTGTACTCACTATGGTGTTACCAATATTTTTCCATCTTCTTTTATATTATTATTATTATATTTTAATCTGTTGATTATCAAGTTAATTGTTGAACCTTAAAAAAGATCCTAATGATACAAAGGTAACTTAATTGAACTAAATTGTAAATAAGATTAATGGAAACGTTTGGAGTTTTCATCATTAATCTTTTCCGTTTTCAGAGAAACAGAGAGGAAAAAAAATGATGCAAACTTTTTAATTCCATGGTAAAAGTGACATATGAGAATAAGAAAAGTTTTCTTTGCTAATTGATCGTAATTTTAATCTAGTTCATCTTAATTTGATCTAATTATCGTCTAACAACAGGTTCAACGAATCAATATTCTGCTTACTGAAAGTTGGGATGATGTTCGTCTTCAAATGCCTCGAGGGGTCGGTTCAAATCGTCGTATTTCCCTCGATCGACGTTGGAAAGATATTCTTTGGATTCCCAATCTGTATTTTACCAATTCGATTGCAGGTTCAATTATCTCCGGTGTTGATAGTTCCGTTTACATGATACTTTCCAATCGAACTCGTGTTGAACTTTTCGCCTCGATGAGCCTTAACATCCTCTGTTCAAGTGACTTTTCCCGTTATCCCTTTGACGAACAAGATTGTAGCCTTGAAATTTTACCTCGTAAGTATTTCCCTGATCATAATCAATCCAGTTCACTAATCAGTTAATCACTCAATCAATAGTTGATCGTTATTTTCACTTTTCTTATCAGAATTTTTTTCTTCTTCATTTTTATCCTAATCCATGGTTAGTTTTTACATCAGGAAGGTTTATCTTAATTGTTGTGATCAATGACACAATATCTAAATCAACGATCGCTTCTGATGATGATTAATTGGCTGATTAACCTTGAATTAATTCATCTGTTTAATTGCAACAATAGAGAAAGATAAACTTTGTCACCATGAAGATAAAAATCTCAATTGTTTATCCGGAAACATAAGATTAGTCGATTCTGTTTCCTGTTTCAGAATAAAACTGTAAAATTTTTCCATTCCTAATCAATTAGAAACTCATCAATTTTCATTATCCATGATCAGTTGAATCAGAATTGATTGAGTTCGTCATCAATTCAGTAAACACAATTTTTTTTTCTCTGTTTTCATTCCCAATCAGTTATCACATTTAGAGAGTACAAATGAACTTCCTAATTTAGCTTATTTGTTTGTTTACTTTTCTCCTCGAATTAACTTCCTTTTTAAGTTCGTAAACGTTTGGACATTAATAATAATCTTTATGTCGGCATTTTGATTAAGAAAAAGTTATGATAAATTAAATGATTAATTCGTCTAGTTGGATAAATGCCAACGTGTCCTACCTTTGGACCTTTAATGTCATCTTAACGTGACTTCGAGAAAGTAAAGAGAAGAAAAAAAAATTCGTAAACTTTTGGCCTCTTTATGGTTATTTTTAAACGATTATGGATTAATGGATCTCTATGTTAGTTTAGATTAGGTTAATCTTCATTCAGGGTGAATCTTCATCATGATCTTTTGAGGTTTTTTCAGGAAGAGAAAGAGAGTGAAAGTGAAAGTTAGAGTGACAATATTGATTAGACTTACGATAAGTTACTTTGTTTTTTTTTCTTCTTCTGAACTTTTCGATTGAGATTCAATGAAAAGAGAGAGAGAGAGAAAGAAAGAGAAACAGTTTATTGTGACAGAAATTGAAATTCAGACTGGAAACATGATCGTCAAACATGATGATCATCATGATGATGATGATTAAAAAAACAAGGTCAATGTTGCATATAATTCACTGAAATCATCTCATGATAATCACACCCATCATGAATGACTCTTAACATGAATGTATCTTAAATAAAACATGAACCTCCCAAGGGAACTATCCAATTATTAGTATAACGGAAACTTGATAATTGAATCAAATGCTCAGCATGTTAACCTAAAACTTTGATTGTGGTTAAGTTTTTTTCTTTCAACTCTCTCCATTATTATTATATTTATTTACTCATTTTCATTAACTAACATTTAAGAATCAAAACAACAGTTAACAAACATTATAATCTATTAATATACTGATCGTGACGAAGATCAAGTGAAAACTTTGATTCATTGACGATTTTTTTTACTCTGATCATTGTCATTGAACTTTCTTGCTATCAAAATGTTTCCCAATATAAAAAAATACACCTTTTCATGCTCATCTAATCAATCATGATGGATATTAATCTTGTTAATCATTAAATAACCTTTGGAAAAAAAACTCAACTTAATTGTCATCATCATGACATTAAGTTATTAACTTGTCAACAATTAAATTAATTCACTAGACATTCACTGCCATCTAGTGAGTAACTTTCTCGACTTTGATTGGAACCAAAGTTGAGAGGGAAAATCAAATAACCAAATAACAAAAAACTTTCAATTCTATTCATTAATGTTTATCGATTAGACTGAAAAGTAAATTGTAATTTCATTGTAATTAATTTGATTGTTTTGTCTTTCTAGTTTCAGAAACATCGGATTCTGTGGTTCTAAGATGGAACTCAATGACTATGAACCCTTCAAGTCAAGAGTCTAATCTTTATTACATCAATTTTTGGACTGAAAATCGATGCCGACCAAATCCAATTAAAGGTAAAATTGTACAATTCATATTGTATATTAGCATCAATGGTCATTTATTAATCTTTTTTGGTCATTATCTGTTTGTCCCTTGTCATCAATTAGGAAGCTCATGTATCAAAGGTAATCTAAAGCTGGTTCGTCGTATTGGAAGCCATTTGATTTCTCATTTATTACCAACGATATTAATGGTTAACCTTTCATTTGGTGGCTTTTGGATACCATTAACTGCATATTCAGCACGAATTATAATAATTGTTTCTTCATTCTTAATCTTAATCATCCATCAAATGATAACCTCGGTTAATTCACCAACAACTGGTGGCCTTTGGGCAACTAATATCTGGTATACTTTATGTTCATTGACAATATTTGGCTGTCTCATTGAATACTTGTTAGCATTGAATGAATCTCTAATTGACTCTAAACCAGGGGATTCAGGAGATTCATCTACATCTTCATCATGGTTTAATTCAAAATTTTTCCAATCTCAACCCAAGATAATGAAAGAATTGCTCAAACCAAATGATTCCAATAACTTTGCTGATATGATCTCAAGAATCGCATTTCCATCAGTATTTTTAATAATTACCTTTGTATATATCCTTTTCTATGCTATCTAATTAATATTTAATATTAATCAAGTTAATTAGAGACTCATTAACTCTTGATTGTTGTTGGAACAAAAAATTGATCATCTCAATAGATTGAAAGTTTTATTATTAAAAAGTGATAATAATAACATATAACATGAAGTTGATTAATCTGTTGAATTATTGATTATTGGAAAGATACAATTTTCTTATTAATATTATTGCTTTAATCACTTGAACATGAGCTTAATTACCTATTATATTACAGTGAACAATTAATATTTAACAGTCTATTTAACTAACGGTAAACTTTTCCCATTGTTAACTGATTGTTGTATGAAAGTTTCAATAGTTTAAATTGAAATGATTATTGAAAAAGAAAACATTTTTTAATAGTAAATTGTATTGAGAAGGGATAATAATAATTATGATTATCAATTGAATCAATAAAGTGCAAAGGATATTATTGATGAAATTAAAGCAAAGGTGAATTGTTGATGGTAATTGCGGTTGATAATTGAATTGCTTGATGAGGTTCGACCTTGTCTTGGTAGCGAATAGCTAATTGTGCTTGTTGATCCTTGTTCAATCTCGAGATTTTTTTCCGATTTTGAATCATCACTATTAAGAGATTCATATTTTGGTTCGATTGTCCGTTCAGTGGTCATCGGTGCCGGTGTTGGACATGGTATTCCAGGACTATGAGAGAGAGAGAGAGAGAGAGAGAGAAGAGCAAAAAGGATAAGATAGAATTCAAATTGTATTAGGGATAATCAATCAATTTTTTCATCGAATTATATAACTTTGATTAGAGTGAAATGATTCTCAAATTGGTGATTATTGTTGTTAGATTTTTGTTTTCCTCGATTCAGATTTATATCATTTTCTAATAATGATAATAATGGGAATAGATATTATCGACTTAAGAATTACCTGAAAGTATACTTTTGGGAACATCGAGTTATTAAGAATCCCATTGAATGGTCCATAAGATTTCTGGCCCTTGGTCCACATTCACGAATCAACGGATCAGATACACATTCCTTGAAATGTCCATACGAACTGATGAAGATTGGACATTGGTTTCAATCGTAATTATTATCATGGATATAAGAGGGAAAATGTACATTTAGAAAGTGAAGTGTTTTTTTTGGATTGTGTTGGTTTCTTGCTGAAATTAACTTGGAAACTTAATCATTGGATTGATACTCACCAACAAATATGATCATCATGAGACCTCTGATTTGAGACAAAGTCGATTAATTGTCGATAAGATGAGCCACAGTTTTCAACTGAAACTCTTTTAAAACATTGAGCATGAGAAAGATACTCTGAAAGAAAAATTATGAAAAAAAGAGTCAAGTTTATTTTCGTATTTATCATGTTATTGATTGTGGTGGTTCTTTCAGAACTCTCACCTCTCTGAACAGTTTCTGAACTGCAAATTGCGTGAACAGTGTCAACAGAATTTTCCACAGCACTGTTGAATTTCATTCTTCTCTCTTCGGTGAAACATATTGTCACATATCTACGAACGCAGTCAACAAATGAGCTCCACATTCTGTTTAGATGAGTGAGAGAGAGAATTATTTTATCATGTTTTATATGAAAGATGGAATAATTTTTTCTTCTCAAGTTTTATCGGTGAAAAGCTAATGAGTTTTATTCATGATTCAAGTTCATCAAACCTTAAAGCTTGAAATTGATCTGGTTACACGGAAAAGGAACCAAATCTAATTGTTGTTACATTGAATGAAAAGAAGTCTTTAGATAAATGGTTGTCAACTTCCGTTTAACGAGTTTTCCTGTTTCCGGTCTTGTCAACATGATATTTTCAAGTTTTCTTTTTGATCTTTTTATCTCTATGTCTTTGGATAACATGAAAATTACAATGAAATTTTTAAGAATAAAGGAATTTTGATTAGAGAAAGAGAGAGAGAGAGAGATACAAAAAAGTTCTGAACAAAGTTTTCCATTCACAATCAGTTAACTATTGGAAATTTCAACCAACAAGAGTTTATTATTTTCTTAAATATGAATAATTGTCACTGAGAAATAATGAACTTACGATTGTTATGACAAACAAAATATACTGAAAACAAGTTCCTAATTAGTAAACATCTGAATGGAAACATTGAGAAATAATTGTTACTCAATTAGAATCAATTAAAATTGGAATGTAGAATTTTTTTTCCTTTTCTAATTTATCATGAATGAAATGAGAGAAGAAAAAAAAACAGAATTGAATTTACAGTTATCACGATGAAAGAAAACTCTAGTTAATATGAGAAGAAAGAAAAATGTTGAGAAGAAGAAAAAGAAAATCGAAATGAACATTAATCGTTCTTAAACAATGAACTACATGATAATGATGATTAAGATGAAGATATACAAGTGAATGATGAAGATAATGATGAAAGAAAGTTATTATTTCTCATGGAAATTAACTCAACTCATAATATCGAGACTTATTCATCATTGTCACCCAACTGAAACTCTTGGAAACTGTGGAAAAGTGAAAAAAAACTTTTCATCGATAATTCAAATTCTGATTCAATGTTCAGTGTCTGAATTTCAATATGATACATGAACAATATGAAAATTCATGATGAAAATGAGGCTGATTGGGATGATGAAAAGGCGCTTTGAATGATGGCGATGATATTGATTGAGGTTTTAATGGATAAAAGAGGATTATCATTTTCCAACATCTATTGTTTGATTATTATCATGATAATCCGGTCGATTAATTGATTCAATGAAAAATCTGATTCCTCTTCCTTTCTGATTCTGAATTAAAGGACATTTTCACAGTTCGTTGGATCCATTGAAAAAAAATGTATATAAACTTTCATGTAACTAAGTGAATGCTGAAGGTTATTCTGAATCAAAGTGTTTCCATCATGCAACTGGATGATATCATGAAATAACAATAGTTTTTGATATTATTTTTGGCAATCAAACAATGATAATAATCATGTTTCATCATGTTCATCATCATCATCATAATCATTATCTTGTTATCCAATTTGGTGATACAAATATTATCAACATTATGATTATAATCCTGACGATTATCACTGAATCAAATTGTGTAGTTATTATTATTAAATGATATTATTACTAAATAAATAAAACTCATTTATCTTTGTCAATTTGTATCAAATCAACTCAATCAAATCCTTAATCCTAATCAAATTTAATCGTATCGTTCAGTTTATCTCAATCTTTCTCTACTCGAATAATTATTCAGTCGAACAGAATCTTTCGAATTGTAACCGAAACAAAAGTTCCAAGTTCTAGCTCTCTCTCTCTCTCTCTCTCTCTCTCTCGACGATTATCTTTATACTTGATTGAATGTTAATTTGTAACTTGTTCGAGAGTTTCAACTGATTAACTGATTGATTAAGTTAACTTTTTTTCTTCCTTCTCTAGTAACAACTATGTTAGTAATTTAGTGATTTCGACCTTCATTTGATTCAGTTAATTATGAAGGTTCATTTAAATTCAAGAGTAATCATCACTATCATGATTTACCCTTTTCCATCATCATGAATTCAAAATTCTGTGAGATGAACTGATTAACTTTAATTGTTTATCATTGAAAGAAAACAAAAAAAAATAACAAAGAAAATGCTAAAATTGTTATGCTAATCATCCTGTTTCCGTTAATTATTATCATGCTAATTAAGGATTCCATTCAATTGATTGTTATCCAAACTACTTTTTCCATCTCTCCTTAACAAGATTAACTAACCATATAAATCTGCAATTCTATTAAATTCTAATTCAACCTTGGCAACAATTAACTAATTACAATTAGATTAATCTCTCTGTACAAATACTTTTAAAAAGTTGAATGAGAAAATGTGAAAAATGTGAACAACAATTAAAATGGAAAAACTTTCCAATATTTTCTGATTGTTGATTCAATTGTATTCCAATATTAATGTCAAGTAACTTGATGATTATCTGATAATAAGATTATCAATCCAATGGTGATGAAGATTATAAATTTATTTATGATTATTGGAAATGAAAATAAACTTTTATCATCTGATTATCGTTGTTATTTTATATTAATCACCTCTGGGCTTACTGATCATCTCTTACCTGATAACCAGAGATAACCTGAGAATAAGCTTTGAATCTAATCGATTAGAACTGTTCAAGAAAACGAGATGAACACAAAAACTAATGATAATAATTCGAGTCCATTACAATATTTGTTATTATATTCCAAGTGACTGAATAACTTGACCGTTGTTTTTTTTTCCTACTGACCATCATCATCCAATATCTACATCAATGAATATGTCCAGTATTTTACTTGGTCAATTGTTCACCGACTAGTTTATCATATGAGAAATTGTCATGATTGGTAAAAATCAGAATTTCACCGAAAAAATCAGCTGAATGAAAAACAAATCGCTCTGGTTTTCAAATTGATAATCAAAAAGTGATCATTTGAAATTGATGTTACAATATTATCATTTGAATGCAATGATCGAACCCCAAATTGCAATATAATATAAATTCAATGGGATGATAAAGATGAGGATGGAATATATGAGAAAAGAAGAGGATAAAAGAAAGAGAAATGATGAAGATGCTCCTATTGTTTCCTCTTTCATGGTTTGTCATCTTAATCATGTTTATCATCATGTCCTCTTCAATTTTAGTTAACTTGAAGTTGAAGAATCAAAGATGATGATGATGATGATCTCTTACTCTCTCTCTCTCTCCCTTTTCCTTTCAGAACTTATTGTCTTCGGAATCATCATCTCTACGAACTTTTTTTTATACTAAACCAGATAAATTATGTTTCTTTTGTTTCTTTTGTATCATCATGACAAAACATGGTAACATCAATCTGAGTAAAGTGAAAAAAAATATCACCAAGAAGTTATGAAGAAACAAAAAATCAAAAGAATAGAAGGAAAAAAAAGAGACTAACTTTGATTCTGAATAATATGAATTCTGAGCATTGAAACTCATAAATCATAGGTAATTTTTTTCTCTCTCTCCATTTCATTGTCTTCGTCAGGTTGTTGTCACAATTGATTCTAAGAGTGTCTATTATCATGATTCTGAGGAGAAACAAATGAACAAGGACAACTTTTCATTCAGATGATATTTCCTGTTTCTATTAATCAGTTATGTGAATAATTATCACCATGATAACCTTGATTATCTTTTTGTTTTAATCCAGTTCGTAGGTATTCAGACAATAGCAAAGGTACTAATAGAAAAACAAAAGTTCTGATTAACTGTCACAACTTTTTTTTGGAAAATTTTTTTTTTCAATTCTGTGAACACAAGAAAAGTTCAAATTCAGTTTCATACCCTGAAGATATTCACCTTGTATATATATTGTTGTACTTTATATCAGTTAAATATTAACACTCTAATTTGATTATCGGGTTAACTTTATCATCTGATCAATATTATCACTTACACCAATTCTGTGTTATTATTACAAAATTATTTGGAAAAGTTTGATTGGGAAGAGAAAGTGAAACTTATATATTGTATTTGGATGTGAGAAAATTGTAATTGAGTAACAAATTAATTTCAATTGTGTTGATTCAGCGGAAAAAAGTGTAAATTAATTGGTTAATTTAAGATGAAAATCCTAATGTGTTAAGTAGTAACAATTGATTAACCAGAATTTGATCAAGAAACTACATTGACTTTGAGTTAATCAGTTAGATGAGCCTAATTGTGATACTCTACAGGAAGAGGAATGGAAATGAAATAACTTTCATGAGGAATAAGAATTGAAATCGTAAAGGTGATACAAGGTAAGAAAAAGGAAACTGAAAATTAGTGAAAACAGAATTGAAACAAATCAATTCTACTGATGAAAGTTCTGGTAATATGAAAATACTCAGAGTTCTGATTCCTTGAGTTTTACAGGAACAGCGAGAAAAATAAAACAATGATGAACATTTGAAAAATTGGCTCAATAGAAATCACCTATTCAACTATCTAGAATTAGATTTGATTCAGTTAATTATCAGTATTTTACTTACTTGCACATCTCATCAACATCCTTAATTGTTGTTGGAAACATATATTTAAGATCATGGAGATACGGCTTGACCATAGTTGTACAATTGTCCAGTTTACTTTGACAATCAAGTGGACCACCTCTACCATCAACAGAAACAGGTAAATCTAACAATAGGTAAGATAAAATGACCAATGGTCACCAAAGGTTATGGTACAAGAAATAATAGTTATTATCATGACATAAGTCAACTATCAACAATTAACTTTCATCTCTCTTTCTCAGTTTGATTAATATTCTGACCAAAAATCTAATTGATATTCTAGATTTTCAATAAGAAACTATAATCATCAAAGTCTCTCCATCTTCTCAACAATAACTTGATTTGGTAACAATTAAGAGGTGTAAAAATACTTACAATTAAGTACAATCAATGATGATAAAATGAATTTCCATAATATTGACGAATTGAATGATTTCCAGTTCATGGTGATCAGAATTTTCTTTTGTGATTCCAATTTCATCTTCAATAGAAATGAAAATGAGTTGAGATTATGAATGAAAGATCTGAACAAACAGAGACAATAACAAAGTTAAACTAATAACTATTCCTACAATTGGAAGCACAATTAAGAAAGCATATTAAATTAACTGTTAACAACCGTAATTACAACTACACAGTACGAGAAAAAAAAGTGATTTAGTAACAATTAAGATTAAACTGTTGTTCAAATCATTGGATTGAAACGTGAGATGATGAGGAAGGAGTTGTTGTCATGATCTCTTTTGTATCTTATATATACTTGGATTCACTTGGACTGAAATCGAAAGTAAAACTTTTCTCAACAATTTTCGACAATTAATCATTAAGCATGAACATTGAACGAAATTTTCCAATTCGAAAATGAGTTAATTTTTTATGTGTATTTAACTTTTAAATGTTGTTCAATTGTTAATCGAAAGTGACAATTAAACCGAAACAAAATTGACCTCAAATGTGAATGGGTTACGAATCATTGTAATTCAATTGAGAGCCTTGAATGTTAATTCAATTGACTCTAAATTAAATATAATATTAACTGTAAACTTTTGTTATATAATGAATTAGATTTATAATTAAGATTAACCAACAATCAATACGAGATTAATGTTTACATGATATATTATGTATCGTTTTGTTGTTATTAGTATAATAAGTATCAGGCTAGAATTGGAAACATTTTGATTAATTTGAGGCTCGATGACCATGGTGATTGGATTAACAATTTAGTAAGAAATAAGTTAATGTTAAGTAAATCAAGGTGAGTGATCAATTCACAATCTTAATCTATCAACTAATTGTGATTAAAAACTTTGGGATTGGCAGGTAGACTAAATTGAAGGAACGTCTTGATTTTTGTTTGTTGTCAATCATTTGTGATTAATTAATTTTGATTAATCTTCACACTGATCAACAGAGATGTAATATATTCCTTCAGGGGTCTAACTGTGACCACTGATTGTTAATTGTTTACAATTAAATACAAGTTTCTAAACTCTGTTGATAAATACAAACCAAAAACAACAATTTCGAGGTCAGAAAGTTTATTTTTATTCCCATTAACTTTACATGGGAATCATTGAGATGATTAAATAAATGATTTAATTGTATTCCAATTTAATTTGATAAATTGAACTGAATTACAATTAGTTGTTCACTAATTAACGATTTCCAATTGAGTTTATCAAAAACTTTTTCTTCCAATCCAAAGTTTAACTGTTCAGGTAAAGATTCAATAACTTTTTCACAATTTAATATAATTAACATGATTAATAAATGAAGAAACTATTGTAATCCAAATTACAGATCAATTGATCATTAAATCTAATCAACTGAAATCTAATTGATTCACTTTGGTTAATAGTCCAAAATAAACTTACCCTGAGAAACTTTCACCAAGTTAATTTCATTTTAAGCTGAAAATTGTCAATCAAATTGTTGATTTGTCAAAATCCTTTGGTGATTAAAATTCAACAACAAATCTTAGAACCAATTTACAAATTGAATCACCGTTGCAATTAATGTTCACCAGTTTAAATTGTTGATCAGTTTCACTTTTTGTAACAATCAAAGTGAGACACAAGTTTTATATTGATGGACACGCTTATGAAACACTCAGCTGATTGAATGAGCTCAATATTTTGAGAATTCGAACAAAAAAAAAGTACAATTATCTTTTCTCTCTCTCTCTCTCTCTTTATTAGTCTCTGAGCCGATGATGATGAGCAAAGAAAAGTTTTCAACGAGTTGTGGGTTGTTGATGATGATGAACAATGAACATTCCTACTGAACTATCACCATGCGCATTTCTCATGAAGCTAAATAACAATGATTCCGATTCTCAATTCCCTTTTATTTTCACCACAACAATCAGTGGGTTATTCCAGGGTATCAGATGAGAGGGGGAAAGGGGATAAGTCCAGAGCGTTTTCTGTTCAATCCTAATCGTGATCACGTTGATTTGACTTATTATTATCATTGTTTATTCACCATCATCATGTAGTTTTAATGTTTCTGTCAGGTGAACTCGTTTAGCTTTTTTTTTGTTTATTAAATTCTGAGGGTGTTGTCACCATACAATCATCATCATAAAGGCGAGGCTCCAATTGTGACCTTTTACTTGATAACAGGAAGGAGATCGCTATTATTATTATCATTATTATCATCTCATGTCCATCCTGTTGGTGTGTATTGGTCACGCTTTAAAATTTAGGTGGATTCATTGATAAAGAGAGAAACTTTTATCTTTCTTTTAATTAGTTTGTTAATTAGACAGTTAAAATATTGAATTTCGTTACATTCAAGGTGGAAAAATTTCCGCAACAGTTTGGTTTCTTATTTTCACACCACCAATCGAAAATTCAATGAACGAAATGATTATTGGTCCATTTTTAGTTCGATAATTTAAATTTCGCGCTTCAAATTTTTCTCTTCAAAAAGGTAACCTTAGATGGCGACACCTATCGTATTCCTTTTGAATAACAAGTGGCTATCAGCTGATTGTTGCGATTCTTTAAAATCCTTTCATCTCTTTTGACTTAATTGTTTAATTGTTTAATTTTAGTAATTTGGATATTTAATTGTTTCTATTTTTTTTCAGCTTTGTATTTAGAAATGATTGAAGAAGATATTCCCAAGCAAAGGAAATCATGGGAACTTGAGGACCATTGGAAATTAAGGAAAGCTTTTCTTGAAGCTTATTGTGATTCCTTTGATGATGATAAGCTTCTTTGTTTAGCTCAAACATTTGTCAACATTGAAACTCTTGGTGTCCAATATAATTCAGAGACTATGGGTCAAATTAGCCGATTAAACGAGAATATACCCTATCTAAGTGAATATCGAACCATGAAGGAGAATCGAGATAAAGAAAGTGCTTTAAGGAGAAAGAATCGAAAAAAGGGAAAAAAATTTGGTTGATTGTCCATCTCAATACCATTTACCTTGTGTTTTCTTCATCATCTCATCTTCTCATCTTCTTGATCACCTCAATTCTATTTCATTTCTAATTCTTATTTTCCGTTCTGTGTACTATTATCTGTGTCAAAAGCTTTATTCTTTTGATAAAATGGACAAAACTAGGAAAATAGTTTTATTATCATGATTATGTAAGAGTAACAGTGTCAATCTTTTTTTTTACCATTGAGTTGAAAAGAGAATCCAATCTTTTAGTTGAACAATTTCCATGAAAAGATTCCAGAAATAAAAGCCTTAGGCCCGAATCCCTTTTGTGATGGAGAGACTAAAATTTCGGACTCCATGTTATTATCATCTTCTTGTTAACAAGTGTGAATAGCTAAGAAGGAGATGATCAAGGGAGAGAGAGAGTAATGTCCAGTTGAGTGGGAGGAAGGTGAGAATATGTATAAAGAGAATGAGAGAAACGATTCAAGTATATTATCAAAGGAAATTGTTGATATTAGATTGGTGAGTTTACTTTTTTTCAGATGAAAAAATCAAAATGTCACGTGACCAGTTGAATAAAAGGAACCATAAGATTATTTTGAATGGAAAAAAAGATTTACTTTTTTTTTCCTTCATCTTCTTTTGTTTGTTTGTTTGCTCCTTTAATCTGGTTCATCTTTTCCTTTTCCTGTTTTCTTTTTTTTACATTGATACATTTCTTTCACTTGTTTCTATCATCAACTTTTCTCTGTCTCTCTCTGTCTTTTATTGAACAATCAATGGAGGCGATGAGATGAGATGAGGATAAGAATGAATCAATTGAACAATAGGATGCGAGAGAGAGAGAGAGAGAGAGAGAGAAAAGGTGAACAAAGATGGATGCGAATTCGATAAGAAAAAGATGGAGAATCAATTGAATATTAACTGAATTCTGGTGAATTAACGTGAATAAGGAAGTTAACAATAACAATTCTGGACAATTGATAGTAAATTAATTCAACTGATTGTGTTTCATTTCATCTCAAATATTTGTCATTCTCTTTCATGTTCACTTGTCCAAGTAAATCCACCAAATCACAAATTGAATCAACTAATCAATTCAATCTGATTATCCCATTCAACTATCAGCCAACATAGTAAAGGTTATAATAAGAATATCAATTGAATATTAATCATTTAAATCTCATAGACAATCAACCTGATCAATTGAATGAAAATAAATAACAGAATCGCCCAAATAATAACAAACAAACAAACAAATATAAGATGACTGAATAAACTAAGGTCACTTTGTCTTAATGATAATCAGTTCCAATAGACAAATAATATTAGCATATTTGGTGAAAATTGAGTTCAACTTTTTTTGGAACCATTTTTTTCCCTGTATAATAATAATTCACACCTAAAGTGATGAAATGATGTTAAATATGAAGTAAAAAAAAAGAGATGATAAGGTGATCACAGGATGAACATTTCTGCGTATCTCCGTGGTAAACACGGAAGACCGCGTACCGAGAAAGTGGCACTGTGGGTGTTGATGATTAAAACGTTGATTGAACATTTGATTGGCACCTTTTTCTTGTTATAAATCCGTAGAGATGCTTAAAAAACATCATTAAAGATCAGGTATGTGTGTGTTTATATTAAGGTGCATAGAGAACCCAAAGTTATTACCAATGAAAAGAAATGACCATCAACTTAGGAGAGAGCGAGAGAAAATCGGAGACCACCCCGTATTCTCACCTTGTATTCACCTCAAGTATAATAATAAACTCTCTCTGTATGAATAATAATCGAAATGTTGAAGAAGAAAAAGTAAAATATGATTACTTTTAACACCCATTCAATCAACGGTTTAATTGTTTGGAATTGACCTTAGGTCACCACGATGATGATCATCGCTCTCTCTCTCTCTCTCTCATCTTTTACTCACAAATAGGTAACTTTGTTTCCGCATTTTTGTCTTTCTATTTTTGTGCGTTTCGTTTGCCTCAGTTTTACCTTTGGCCTCACCCCGAACACCCCCCACAGGTCGACAACTATTAATATTGGATAATAATCAAATCAACTGATTGGACTCTATGATCAATGATCAATGTGATGTTATATTACATTGATTATCATCATTTTTGGTTAGTTAACAAATTCAATTGATTTTAAATTATGTTGAGTTTTCAATTGGTTCAAATGTTTGAAGGTAAACAACTTTTCCCACTGTGAACTTATGTTATCCCAATTGATCAACAATTGTAATCAACTGATCACTTGATTGAGTGTTTACGGTTAATAGTTAATAACATTATTGATTGAGAACTGGAGGGAACAATAAGTTGTACTAATATTTTTGTTCTGTTCGAAGTTAGAACTTTATAAAACTTTTTAAAACTTTTTTGTTCTTCGAAACTTCATCAAAATCATTAGAATTGAATTGGAATTTTTTTTTTCGTCTTTTTCTTTGACTTAAAATCATTTACATCTCAATGAGAATCAAGAATCAAGTTTAATTATAATTGGTAATTTTGAGAATTGAATAATTATCCATACCTTTGATAATTGAACTTTAATTAACTAAAGTTTAGTTTATTTCTCGATAATTTGAATAATTTTAATTATAATTAATCAAAAAGTTTGCTATCAGAATCTTCTTGTTGTGACACTTTTCATGTTTCTATTGACATGATAAATTGTTTCCAATTTTGTTGTTTTATTTTAAATTGTTGCTCTCTCTCTCTCTCACTCACTCACTCACTATCTCAGTGATTAGTAAATTAAATGAACCAGAGTAAAGATGAGATAAACCAGCATGGATTAACAATTTAAGTTAGTGACTCAGATGAAATGTTAATCTCTATGTACATGTGATTCAATTGAATCTGGATTAACATGACATTAGTTAAATGATAATAAGGTTGAGATTATTATTATTCTGTTTTGATTATAATGATGATGGAAAGACAATCATCATTATTTCAAGTGAAAAGGTATTAGTGTCAAGACGATAAAGATGAAAATAAGATGAGCATGAGGATAAACATGTGATGAAATGAGTTACAAAATTGTTATTTATCATCATCATCATCATAAGAAGATATGAAAACACAGAGAGAGAGAGAGAGAGAGAGAGAGGAAAAGGTTGATCAACTGCTGATGATTTTCTGATAATCGTTTATGTAATAAGTTGATAATTATTGATTGGGAAGGAAAAATAAAGTTGCAAATGACAATTAAATCTCTTGCCTGGCAAAGATTAAGATATTTATCGGTAATGGAGCTTAATCATTCCTCTTGGTGGATTAACGGACATTCAGTTAATCAACTGACCAGCATCATTAAAATAGCGACAAAAACTTATTTTTGAAACACAAAAAAAAAAGATTCAAAATGATTAAGGTTAATCATAATTGTCAATTAGTAAGTAAAAGTTAACATCTTTTTAATGTTTCGTTGATTGTTGATTATAAACCAGAAAATTTGGCAAAACTTTAACTGTATAATTGTTGACGGTGGTGGTGGTAGTGTTTATGTTAACAGAGTTAACTATTAATTGTTGTATATAAACAATTTAAAAATGGTTTCGATTACATTGTAATCTGTGTGTGTTCCCATTCGTTATGTTATATTTGGTGTTTATCTTTTAAATTAACACACTAGAAGATATTACCTCGATTATTTTGATATCATTTTCGAGGTTTTCACTTTCACCATCACTTGTTTCCTCTTCCGTTTATTTTCACATCCTCATCCTCATCTTAATCCACCACCACCACTACCACAATCACTTCCACCTCCTCATCTTAATCTCTTGTAAATGTGAGATTTTTTTTTCTCATCAAAATGCTTTCATTTATTATCAATAAACATAATCTTCTGTAGATAATCACTATAACTGTAAATGTACA